TCGCTGTGTGACTCTGGCCAAGTCACTGATCCTCTTTCTATCTCGGTTTCATCAACTGTAAAATGGAGATCAGTTTCTTCAGCTCTAAGATGGGGATAATAAGAACACCTACCTCTGGAAAACTGCTAAGGTGTTCTCCTGCTCTAACCCTATGATTCTCTGATACGATGCTCCCACGTCCATCAGTAAAGGCCAGGAATATAAGGCAGTCAGGTTACAAACAAATCGGAGCCAGGGAGACAAGATGGGTCGAAAAGCCAGTTCCCTCTCCCCTGCCTGGCTCTCTCTTCCTAAGCTAGTCCTGAAGTCCTGTTTCAGCGGCTAACACCCTTCCCCACTCGGCAGGGACCCTCTCAAGAGAACCTTCATCCTGACCTAACCTGAAGCTCACCTGGGCTCTGATTCATTATCTTACCCTCAATAGAAGGGATCACCTTATCTGTGCTCTCCCATGACCATCACCAGCCTGACTTGGCCTAGGGAGAATTTGACACTGACTTCTATCGAGATGGATAGATAATCTACAAAGTATGTAACACCAAGAACAATAATAACTTACATAGAGCTTTTAGGTTTGCAAAAATGCTTTACATTTTATCCTATGTGAGCCTCGCCATAATCCTGGGAAGTAGGTGCTATTATTACCCTATTTTACAGATGAGAAAAGTAAGGCCAAGAATCTGAGGCAGGATTTGAATTTAGGTCTTCCTGTCTCCAAGGCTAGCACTCTATACTACCTAGTTACCTCAAGTCAAGTATATGACTTGTTTCCAATGACTTTAGAAAGCATATTTTTAAATGGCCTTATTTAATTCCTCCAAAGCAATTCCTTCTCCTGCCCCAATCTACATACAACAGTTGACCCAAATTAAAAACAAAACAAAACAAAAACAAAAACAAACAAAAAAACAAACCAAAAGCATGGCATACTTAGCCAACATTCAGTTACTGAATCTTAGGTTTCCTTGGGCCACAGCAAGCCCAACTACTTTAAATCATTGTCCATGGAGGCTGGATACCCCCAAATTCTGTAGCATTACTCAAATCAAGAATCTTCACAGATAAATATATTTAAAAAAAATAAACCAGTTATCATGGGGTTCTTGCAAAGGTCTGGGTTGGTTAAGAGTTTTATAAAAAATTCATAAAATGAAGTAAGATTTCTCAGACTTGCTGGTAGCTTGCCCAGAGACATCTTCTAAATGGTTTTGACTCTTTGAAATAATTTATCAATGTAATTGAAGTGGTAACAAAATGCCTTATCCTCGCACGTTTTGTCAAGTATTTTGTCTCTTCTGGTTGTTCTCATCAAGCAATGAGAGTTGAAGAATCTTGCCTTATTCTAAGATGATGTAAAACCAAACTTTATCTGGGGCAACTCTAGAGTATATTTCAATAGCAACAATCTAACCTACCTTTATTAAGCCCCAGATGTGGACAGAGCCCTGTCCTAGGTGCTAGAAGAGATACACAGATTGGGTAAGACACGATCTCCTCCCTCATGAAACTTCTGTCCAGTGCAGAGTTTCATAATCTAGGGCCAATGAACGTTTGAAAAAATATGTTTTGATAACTTTTTCAATGTAGTTGGTCTTCTTTGATGCATTTAAAAATCATCAAATTGGATGCCTTGGGATCTGAAAAGAGATTCCTAGGCTTCACCAGACTCCCAAAGGTAAAAAAAAAGAAATTGAAAATTGGAAACAAAGATGGTTGTAAGACCCTCATTTATGTGTATCTGTGTATGTGGGGAGGGGAAGGGGGAGAAAGGAGAGTGGTGGATTTGGGCACATACTAGATTAACTATAATGCTAACATGTTTGTTTAGTTAGTATGGCATTGGGGATATAGAGCTTGCCTTGAAGCCAAGAAGACCTGGGTTCAAATCCTGTCTCTGACCCATAGTTGCTGGGGAAATCTGGGCAAAGCAATAGATTAAGGTTCTAGCCAACTCCTTTGGACTATAAGTTGCAGAGAAAGCATGTGTTCAATAGTTTTCAGTTGAGTCTGACTTTTCATGACCGCATTTGGGGTTTTCTTGGCAAGGATACTGGAATGGTTTGCAATTTCCTTCTCCAAGACATCTTACAGATGAAGAAACTGAGGCAAACAGGATTAAGTGACTTGCCCAGAGTCATACAGCTAATACATGTCTGAGGCAGGACTTGAACTCAGGTCCTCTGGACTCTGAGCCTGATCCTCTACCCACAATGCCACCTAGATGCCCTTCCAGAGAAGGAGCTGACCTGGATTGATGGGGAGAGTTTCCTCACCTGAGAGTTCCCTATACCAATGAAATCAAGTCCTCCCCCATCCTTTCAGAGCAGGTCCACTCTCTGCCTTAATCCAGACATTCCATGGCATTCTTCCCCCCAGGTGACATATAGTCAGGATGGCTTTCCATGCACAGCTGCCATGTTAGGAACCCTTTTCCAAGACTACTTCTGCTTTCGAAGATTATCTGAGAATACCTGCCCCTCTTACCTTTGGATGGATCACACTGGGCTAAGCACAGCTGTTCTACACAGCACTGAAATGATTTTGACATGAAATTTGGGGTCTGATATTAAAAACCACAAACTCATATGAGTCAAATCCCGAAAATTAAGTTAGAAGGCCAATGGCCTGCCAATGGAGTTTAAGACGGCCCTTTATTCAGGCCCAAGTAGTGTTATTTCTACCATGTTTAACCAACCCCCCCTCCCCCACCAGTCATCAAGTTTATTTCTCGGTTCTTTTTCTAACCTCACTGAGACATCATAATGATTTAAAATTGTGAAAGCAATTACAGAAAAACTAGAGATGGTCCCAAGCAGCAAACATTAGAAGAACTTGTAAACATTAGTTGTATACATATATATATTCAAATGTATATATACACACACATGCATTCATACACATATGTGTGTGTACATATGTAACTATCTCAATAACACCACATGGAATTTGTGCTCATTCTGAGCTTCCATCCTGCATCAGAGCTGGAGCTGGCCAGGCCAACAATCGTGCATGCTGAATGCCAACATAAGCCTGTTTCAGTTCCCATCTCAGTTTGGAGGAGCCCTTGGACAAGAATCTTGTCCTCTTGGGCTGACGCTCTGAGATGGTACAATGGACTCCATCAACCGGGGCTCAGCAGTACCAAGCAATGTTGCTAGCTTGAGTCCCACACTTTTACTACCTAGTCTACTAAAACTACTAGTCAAAGGGTACACATTAACTTTGCAGAGCGAGACTCAAAGCAAACCAGAAAGAGCACAGCAGGCACGTTTTGATGAGGGGGAGAAGGAAGAATTTCCCATGAGACACTGGTATTTAAGGGGGCCTTGAACTGGAGAGCGGAAGAAGGAGCTTTCACCTTGCCATCAAAAGCTTAGCTCCATTCTGAGTTCATGGAGCTGATTGAATCTCACATCTCAGCAAATCTGATTTGTTAGACCTATGTTGAAAAAGCTGGCTTCAGAGGTCTTTGCAAAGGAAACCAGGCTCCACCATGAAATCACATAGAATCACTCTTTTAAATAAATTATTAACTCCTCCCCCCACCCCCCAAAATCAGAATGCCATGACTCAATGATTCTTCCTTCATGTAAGGAACATTAGCAATACATAGATATACACACATATTACAATATAACCACTAGATCAAAAGAAATTAAATTTTGGCCAAATAGGCATGTGCTACATCGACTTAAAACGTCACCATTAGCCCCTTAATTTACAGGTAGGGGAGTTTCTGAGAAACATTTTAACCCTCTCCATCAGAATTTTGCCCAATAGAGAAATGGTCCCCCCCACCCCCACCCCAGGTTCCTGGCTGATTTGAGAATAATGCATTCTCTTCTGCAATGGTAAAATGTAGGCTGGGGACATCAATTCTGCCTGTCATCGTGGAGAAGGCCAACACTTTTGCATCATTCTCTTGTGTGAAAATGGAGAGAGAAGGGGACAAAAAAATCAAAGCCAGCTCTAGGCAGACTGTTTATTTCCCCCTCAGCTTAATGGCTGTGTGGGTTTTAGAGGTGTCCTCGGGCTGTTGCTCTCTCAGGGATGAAGCGACAATTAAATAGAGCATTATATGGTTCATAATGCATCCACATAGGCAAAAAAAAAGTTCCTCTTTCCACTAAATACCCAGCTTGTCAGCACCAGCGGGGAGTTGTCTTTTCATGACTAACGGAGGGCCGATCGCACAGGGTTAATAAGCATTGGTGCAGCAAAATGGGGCTTGGAACTGGAGAGTATTTGGAGCTTCGAAATACTGTCAGATCTTCAAAGAGCTGAGCAGCCTCGCTGTTTTCTTTAGAGTTTCCCATTTTAATCCAGAAATTTTTGGTCGAATGTTGCAAAAGGGAGAGACAGCCAACCATACCCCAACTGTAGTGGGCTCCTTGGGTCCAGACTCAGTCAACTGAAACATAGCTTTACTCTTGAAAAAAGCAACTCAAATGCAGAGTGAGCAAAAAAATTGTCCAGTCTGATTCGGAGTTTTGTTGTTTTTTTTTTTTTTAAGAAAAAAAATTAATCTGAAAAGAGACAGGTCACCATGTGGGTAACTTTGTCAATGACCTCTCTTGGCTAATGCTGAATTCAGAAAATGAGTTTCCATTGTAAATGATTAATCAAGATAGCCCAAGGAGCCCAGCCCAGAAAAAAATAAAATAAAACACCTTCTCTCTCCTAACTTGTTTGCCCAGCAAGCTCTTTCCCTGTGAGCTCACATCCCTGGGAAGACTTCAGGGTTTTTGCTCTCTCTGGTCCAGGAAATGAGGTGGGGGAAATCTGTGTGCTCCCAGCTAAGGAGAAGCCCTGAGGTCTCATTCCTGAATCTGCCTCCGGTCTGCTGCAAGTGGATATGCAGCGTTGGAGCCTGGCGAACAGGTCCTGGGAAGGAGCCCCATCTGCACACTGGTTTCAATTAGGACCACGGGTCCCAAACATCCCAGGCAATCACGGGCCTGGGGAGCCATCCCAGGGAACAGGGCAGGGGCATCACCTACCTTCCATCATGGTGGCAGAATCGCATTCCTCAATTTCCAAGGAGCCTGGAAAAACACGGGAAAATAGGATCCTGGTTACCAGTCGGGTCCCCCTCCCCCCACCCCCAACCCCCCACTGCTGGCAGAGAGGAGCTGGACCCCAGGCAGAGCGAAGCCTCAAAGCGAACGGCAGGCCACGGATGCGGCTGCCCTGTACCACCTAGAGGATGGCAGGAAGATGCTGGGAGAGAAAGGGACAGCTCGCTGAGCTCACACGCCTGCCAAGGGCTCAGCCAATCCCTTCCTCCCTGTACCTTGTCACATGGTAGCCAGCTCGCATCTCCTGACACAATACCCCCGGAGAACACACAAGAACCTATTTCTCAGCCCCATCCTCGGCGCTCCCCCCGCCCCCCAAGCTTTCACCAAACATACAACCCTGCTCCTACCTGTGACGCACTTCCCTCACTGCCCCCGCGGCCTCTCTCATCCTATTGCAGCAACTGGGTGAAGGGAAGGGGATTAATTACCGGGCACTGTCAGATGCAGGGGTGGGGGCTCTGGGCCGGGCTGGGAGGGACCATTCCTGCAAAGCGCAGCTCTGGATCAGCGCGAGCAGCCAGCCAGCCACTCCATCCCTGCGGCTCCTGGCGAGGAGGCATTCCAGATGGCAGAGGCTGGGGGGTCCGCCCACCCCACCACACACACAGCGGAGAGAGGACAGAGGGGCGAGTGCGACCTGGCTGGACCAGGGTGCTGGCCGCTTTCGCCTCTCCCCAGCTAGCCAAGAGAGAATTAATCCAGCTGACGTCGCTTCATCCACAAATAGTCTCCCCACCCCAGGCAACCCAGAGGGTGATGCAGAAGAAATCTCCACCAGGCTGTCTAGGACAGAGCTGGCCCGGCCATTGAGTCCTGCCAAGGGGCAGGGATTGTCCTGGACACAAAGAAACAAAAGGGAGACCCCGCCGAGATCAGCCTGACCCGGCTGGAGGTCATGTGGGAAGGGGCAGGGCAAAGCCGTAGAGAGAGGGAGCCCAACTGAAGCCGCTGGGCAGCCTCACAGGGGTTCAGTGCTGCCTTGCACGGATGCCTTCTGCAGCAGCAGCAGCTAGAGAGACTCCCCCCCCACCCCGGGTGTGACTCGCTGTCCTTCTTTGGGGAAGATGGGCACCGATTCCTAACATCATCCTTCCTCTGGGAAAGCTGCCCATGCCAAGCCCCCTGTCCTGGAAAGTGGGCATGCCCAACTTGGGGATGTTTGGTTTGACTGGACTAAAGATATGTGACAGGAGTTCTGCTCTTCTTTTCAGTGGGGGGGGGGGAGAGGGAGAGGGAGAGAGAGGGAGAGGGAGAGAGAGGGAGAGGGAGAGAGAGAGAGAAAGAGAGAGAGAGACAGAGAGAGAGAGAGAGACAGAGAGAGACAGAGACAGAGAATATGAATAAATATGCTTGCTAATTGAAAAAATAAATGAAAATGTAAAATACAGGGAGGTGAACATTTTTTTTTTTATTAAGTTACACTTCATGCAAAACACTGTACCAAGCTTTGGAGATACAAATAGAAAAGATAATGTCTGCTCTCAAGGAGCTCACATTCTGTTAGGGGGAAGGTAAAACATGTTTTGTTTCCCCAATACTTAGTACAGTGCCTGGCGCATAGTAAGTGCTTTTTTTTAATTTTTTTTTTTTTGTTTTCAACATTTACTTCCACAAAACTTTGAGTTACAAATTTTCACCCCATCTCACCCCTCCCCCCACCCCGAGGTGAACATTTTTAAAAAGCAAAGGGAATGGGGGAGAGTTTTCATGGGCGCAGGGCTGCTGCAGCCCCAGGTGGAGCCTGCCTTCTGGCAGGCTGTGCCTTGCCTCCCTCTCCTGTTCGTAGTCATGCTCAGCTCTCCCGGAGCTCAGCAGAGAGGATCATCTCCCCAAGGGGCTATGGGAGCCTTTCTGCTTGAACAGGTACTAGCTGGCTTCCTGCTCTGCAGTTAATGAGAGACTTTGTCCACCCATAATATGGCTGCTTATAGAGATGGAAAAATGGGAGGATGCACGGTGCTCTCTTGGAAAGAGCTCTAGAGTAAGAAGACTTGAGTTCAAATCCTGCTTCTGTCACTCGCTCCCTTATACTAACTTCCTTGGGACTCAGCTGCCTCATGTGTAAATGAAGGGAGTTGGATGGTCTCTGACATCCAAGATTCCTGGGAGACACCAAGGTCTGGTGCTCCTTTACTCAGAAAGGCAGCTAGGGCTGTTTGGAAGAGTCAAAGTCCTGGGTTCAAGCTCTGGCACAGCCTGACTGTGTGACCCTGGGCAAGTCACTTTGCTTCTTTGGCCCTCGATTTCCTCATCTATAAGATGGACTGAATTAATATTTGCATCACAATGTTAATTGTGAGCCAGCATGGTTCAGAGAAAAGAACTCCTGCCAGGCGCATACTGGCTTAGAAAACCATAAGTGAACATTATCTGTGTTGTGTTGTATTTTTATTTATTTTGTTCAACAGTCCCCAATCACATTTTAATCTAGTGCAGGCCATGCACCCGTTTTGCCTGGAGGATGAGGCTGAGTCTGACACCTCTAGTTTAGAGGTTAGCATGAGGAAGGCCCAGGTTTGAGCCCAGCTTCTCACACTAACTGGCGGTGTGAATCTGGGCCAATCACATCAACCTTCTTGTGCCCCAGGCGTCTCATTAAGGTTTTACGTTGCACAGCAGGTGCTGATCGGCCTGGGTAAAAGGAGGGTCTGTTTTTAGAAGTTCCCTATATTGATGAAACCAGAAGTCCCTCCAAAAAAACAAAACAAAACAAAACAAAAAAGCCCCAAACAACCCAATAGCTCATGTTTATGTAGCCTCAATCGACAAACCTTTTTCTTAACACCTCACTATGTCCTAGGCACTAGAGATATAAAGACAGGGGTGAGACAGTTCTTGCCCACAGGTAACTTACATTCTATGGGGAGACAACAGGTGCATCTCTAGGTATAGAAAGGTGACGCTTGCTTACATTAAGCTCATTTAGTCCTCATAAAAACTCTATAAAGTGGGCTTTTATTCTTCCAATTTTACAGATGAGGAAACTGAGGCTGTGCAGTGAAATATAATTTGCCTGTGGTCACATCACTGGTTAATATCTGAGGCAGAATTTGAATGTAGGACTTTCTGGTACCAGTTGTCTCTCCACTTGAGCTCACAAAACAGTTGTGAGAAAAGTGCTTTGTGAATTGTAAAGTGCTTTAGAAATGTGACCTCTCTTTTTCCTCTCAGTCACAATTTGAGAAGAATTAATAATGGTCGGTGACTTCTCTAAGGCACTTTACAGTTTGTAATGCACGTTCTACATGATCTCATTAGAAATTGTCAGGAAGGAAAGAGAAATGCTAGATAGAAATGCTTCTCAGGGCCCTTGAAACCAACTTGAAGTACATTGGTAGGGACATGGGTAGGACAGGGGTAAGTACCCATGTAGGACCTGGGTAGAGGTATTGCATATACATATATAATAAAAATATTATAACTATATAATTATTATATACAACATACAATTATAATTTAATTATATTAATATAATTAAACATATAATAATAATATTAACAGCTGGCCTTTTAAATCTTGCAAAGCATTCTAGCTACTGTGGGTATTATTATCCCTATTTTATAGATGGGGAAACTGAGACTCAGGAAGTTTTTGACATGGCCACACAACTAGAAAATGTCAGAAGTAGACTTTGAAGCCAGGTCTTCCTGACCACACAATTAATCAATTAGCAAGCATCTATTAAGTTCCTACTATGGGCCAGGCATAATCTGAGGGAAGAAAGAAGTAATCCACCCCTGCCCTCAGGGATGTTATGTTCTCTTTGGGAAGAAACCAGAGCAGGAGAATGTTAAGAATTGCGGTTCTGGAGTCAAGGACCTGGGTTCAATTCCTATCAGACAATGACTAGGTCTTCGTCTCTACTGATCTCAGTTTCCTAATCTGTAAAGCAAAGTAATTGGACTTAGTGGCCCTTCAGGTCCCTCTGGTTTCACACCCACCATCTTAGAAGTGCATCTAAGCCCAGGGCTCTCTCCTTGATGCCATTGAAAGGAAAGAAGGAAGGGATGAGGAGAGAGACGCCTTTTCAGAGACCTCCAGAGCTAATGGCAGACACAGCCATGCTTCCCTCTTTCAGAAACACAGCCATGCTCACCTCTTTCTATTCTATTGCCAGAAAGACAGCCCTACTCACCTCGCTTCTTGTTGTGAGGATCAAAGAAAAGGAACTCAAAAGGTGGCATAAGAGAGTGTGTTGGACCTAGATTCAGGGAGACCTGGGTTCAAATCCTCTCTCAGACAGGCATTTAGTTTGTAACTTTGGCCTTCTCTGATGCTGCTGCCTCCCAGCCAGGAATGTTTATTCTATTAAAAAATATTCTGTGGTCTGCTGTACTTCTCAAATCAATTTTTATCACTAGTCAGAACTTGACTTGAGAGCCTATTACAAAATGCCTGCCCAAATGAACTGTGTAAATCATGATGTAAAAATAATTTAGGAAGTAATTAAGACACATGGGGCAGCTAGGTGGTACAATGGATAGAGCACTGAGCCTGGACTCAGGAAGACAGGAAGACTCATCTTCCTGAGTTCAAATCTGGCCTCAGACACCAACTATGTGACCCTGGGCAAGTCACTTAACCCTGTTTGCCTCAGTTTCCTCATTTGTAAAATGAGCTGGAGAAGGAAATGACAAACCACTCCATTATTTCTGCCAAGAAAATCCCAAATGAGGTCACGAAGACTCAGACATGACTGAACAAGAACAATTAAGATACATTCAGGTGAGTGAGAAAGGAGAATGTGGGTCATCGACCCCTTACCATTCCCTTGCCAATGGGGGAAGGGAGATAGAGACCCTGGGACCCTGCAAGACCACTCCAAGGGAGGGTCTCACCAAGGAGCTGTGGATGAGGTGGGGCAGGGGGGAGGTGACCTGGAGGAGGTGCTGGTGAGTAGGTTTACCACCTGGAAGTTTCCTATGTGAACTGATTATTCCTGCAATCTCAGTGCTAATTAGGCT